CACGATGGGTCCTGGCTGGTTCCTTTCTTTCCCCAGGAATTTGGAAATCAATCCCATGCCAAAACCCACCTCGTTAGTAAACATCCATATAACCACACTTCTCCCAAAACTGCGTGATCCAAGAATTACACAAGTGTTTCGGACTGTTGAAGCTCACTGCAAGCGTCTACCCAACCGTCGACCTGTTCCAGGACACATGGAAAGCTTGGAAGCTACGCACGGTGGAGGCCATCGCTACTAGTAACAAGAAGCTACTAGGCTACCAGTAGCAAGGTGCATTGCTACCAGCAGCAAGAAGCCACTTGAATCTCATCCCCTCAACCGCGCTCCATTCAACTCAAAAAACTCCCCGAATTCACGTCTCTCCTTGCCACTAGCATCGCGCGTCTCCGTATTCTGGGCAGATCGTTGTGTTCGTTGCTTTTCCGAGTGTCTTCATCACATGGAGATCTGGATTCTGCTTAGCTCAAAGGCATCAAAACCTACCAAACTTGCCAAAACCTGAAAACTGCAGCAACAAATAGCTTTGCCCTTTGCATGCAAACAAATATCATGGAACACACATGCTCGCATCTGATCAAAGACAACAGGTAAAGACGTGTTCGTTTGACCTCCAACCTCTGTTTGATGACTTCTGACTTCTGTTTTTTCTATTGACAGTGGAAGTCCTGTGTCAAACTGAAGGATAGAACAGGAACTGAATAGCTTCGCCGTTGACGATCTCAGGTGCCAGCAAGGGCATCCAAGGAGGCGTTCCAGCCCTCGGGCATCTTCCATGCTCGGTCCAAGATACGATTCCTTAGCTAATTTCGCAAGGTTTGGAGGCCATCGCTATTAGGTTGGAGGCCATTAGGGGGTATCAGCCATAAGCAAGGCTCATGGCTGAGAATACCACACATGGATCCTCGCGAATCCAGGCAACCTCACTAAAGCGGACCTGGACCCACATCACGTGGACCCACTCAAATCAGGGCTGAGAACCATTTCCAACCAACATGCGGAGAAGCAGTTTGCACATCAATATGATGACAACAATGGGACACATCATATATCATATATCGCCTATATCGCTTCTTCACGGTCTTCACGTGCTTTCCACCACCACGGGGTGCAAGGACGAACGTTCCCGTTCGGTCTTGCCTTTCACCGCCGACCGCCGACCGTGTCTAGACGAGAGACCCTGCGACACGCGTCTGTGCATTGAAGGTGGCAAAGGCCAACGCCATGGCAGAGACCTGGGTGGACACTTGGGTGGACTGCGAATCCGAAGGCGGACGAAGGTTTGACCAAGGCGGACCAAAATAAGAGAGAACGGTGGTAGGAAGCTACTAGTAACAAGTGCCTTACTAGTAGTAACAGGTGCCTTACTAGTAGTAACAAGCTTCGGTCTGAATGGTCCGGGAGTTCGGAAAAAAAACATGGGAAGATAAGATAGAAGCTTCGTCAATGATCTGTATGGCATGTGAAGCTGAATCAGGTGACTATAGTGCAACAAATGTTCAAAGCAACATCGCACAGACAGAAGCTCTGACTCTTGTACTAGGGAGAGGGCTTCCAATCGGAATATCTTTGAGTGAGTCGAGACAAGTTGGTAGTTCAAATACCGGTCTTTTCTCTGATTTGCCTGTCAAAAATAGAAACAAAAACCGTGGGTCAACCATAAGTTGTACTGATCTTGCTGAAGTCTGGTCAATTTCTGGCTGACTTCGCTGCACATGGAAAGCGTGAGCACCATGTCTTCGCACCAAATCCATCACTTGACGCTCTTCTTCTCTTTCAGCATGCGATGTGGTGGAGCCGACCGTTGCGGCACGCGCGAGAGCGACTCAAGGTGATTTGACTCTTTTCATCTTCTCCTCCAGTCCAGGGGGGCTTCATATGATGGCTTCATGAGCCTTTGAAAACAAGCCCTGTCAAAAGAAAAAGAGAACCAGAAGCTACTATGGGCTCCTGGCCTTACTACTAGGAGCAAGGACGCTACTAGGGGCTCCTGGCATCGCTACTAGGAGCATTCCAACGACACGTGGCTGATTGTTTCCCTCACTTCCGTGGCTGTCTCTGTATATATATATATATACTCAAACTTGTCATGAGGTTTCGAGGTTTCCAAAGAGCTGGTTGCGATGAACGAAAACCAAAAGCACCTCCCACATTTCTACTAATAAGAAGCTACTAGGTGGAGGCCATTGGTATTAGGTTGGAGGCCATCGCTACGAACGCAACAAAGGGCATCGCTACGAACGGAGCTACGTTCGAGCGACGCACGGAGCTGGTGCCAAGGTGGTGCACCTGGACCAACCCACCACAGGAGATCTGGAGATGCCCACGGCCTCGTGCACGGCTGTCCTGGCAAACTGGACGCGCCGAAGTAAGACCATTCTGAATGTCCGGAAGACTCGTGACTCGAAGGTCAGCTTTCGGAACCTCTCAGCTGTCAGACTTCCTACAAAGACACGAACATCACCCTAGGAACAAGAAGCTACGTTCGGGGCTCCTGGCCTTACTACTAGGAGCAAGGACGCTACTAGGGGCTCCTGGCATCGCTACTAGGAGCAAGGACGCTACTAGGGGCTCCTGGCATCGCTACTAGGAGCAAGGACGCTACTAGGGGCTCCTGGCCGTACTACTAGGAGCCAGGACGCTACTAGGAGCTTTGTGACGTTCTCCCAAACTCCCCCAGTCCAAAGTGCACGACGTGCAGCTGGGTCCAACCCGCAGCTGGGCTCATCGAGGATGGCCAAGGATGGCGAGCCCATCTCAACACACATGATCGAGGGATCGTCTTAGAATGTCTTCAGCTCGAATCAACACACCTTCACCTTCTCTAGCTACTCGCTACTCTAGCTACTCTAGCCGAAAGCCATCTGGCCTTTCCTATATTGAATCAAAGGCCTGAATTAGACGGCTTTACTACCCGAAGGGCATTACTCCGTCAACGTTGCAACCCCTTGCCAGAAACTGCTAGTTCAAGAACACAAGTGGCCACAGTTCTGGACAGAATTTGGGAGCAAATAACAACCTACAATAAACATATAAACGAACGAATAATGGACAAAAAAGAAGAGAACAAACAACACATAAAACAAAAACAACAAAAAGAAAACAATAACATTATGTTTAAACAACTAAATAAATGAATAGTATTAAATAGCATTCAAACATATAGTAACAAACCAACCTTGGCCACCCTTTGGGGTCTCCGCGCCAGGTCTCCGCGCCAAGGCCAGTGCTGCGGAGAGCTTCCGCTTGTTGCCGCCGCTGAGGACGTCCGCACGGCGACGCGCCTATGTGGCGTCCAAGCAACTTGTGAGTGGTTGATGGGCGTGCCAAATGTCAACTCCTTGCCCTTCTCCAAGCGTGAAGCATTGATGGGATGATGTCACATGTCAAGTCTCTAAAATCATATGAATCCTATGATTTTCATGTCTTTCCTTCATGGGGTCTCACATGTTCCTGTGGAAAGCAAAGTGACCCGCGGACAGGATCTGTGATCTTACAGAACCAACAAAGCCACCACTCAAGAATGGTATTTAAGGTGATAAACGAAAAGGGTGCATGTGGCCTATTCCGAGAGGATCTATCGGCAATCTCATTCAGTGAGCCCACTAACCAAGGTTGTTCAATCAAAACGTATTCCACTTGATAATGTGACCTGCAGCTTGCTCCAAAGACGAAGCCCTGCCCTACGTACTCCCAACTCCATTGAACGATGACTGATGACAAAGTACTCCCCAGTTGCGAAGCAACCGCAACAGGAGTCACTAACCCAACCACAGGGTCCTTGCTGGCGACCAAAAAATGGACGAAGAATCCACACACACACACTGTATCAGAATAACTCTGATGGATGTTCTTGACACGAGCCTTACAATATTTTACATGGTTGTCCAAGGCCCCAACCATCTTCTCCAGCTTGAAATCTTGCAAGGTGTCTTCCACGGCCTCGAACCATCCACTGAACACGGATGTGACCCACTGACAAAGCTCACGCGCAGCACAAGCTAAGCACCCTCGAGCAGGAGAATGCCACATTTGACTGAAAGGTTCAGAGGTAGCAGGGCATTGAAAACATAGGGACATCTATATTACGGGGGGAGGCCATCGCTACTAGGTTGGAGGCCATTGCTTCTAGGTTGGAGGCCATCGCTACTAGGTTGAAGGGCCATTGCTATTAGGGTGGAGGCCACTGCTATTAGGTACTGAAAACATAGGGACATCAGCAGAGATTCAATGCGCCAAAGAGCTTGGCGCACACAGCTGGGATTCTTGTGGACTCTTTTGTGAATTCTTGTTTCGGTCAACTACTCTCCTTTCGTCCCTACCACACCTGCTATCTGTGTTACGAAGCTCTTGGAGGCACTTGAGCTGGTATGCTCATTGGGAATAGGCACTGACTACACCAAATGTTCACCGAACATGGACTCCATTTGGAACCGATCATCACGGCTTCACCGATCACTAACACCCTCAACATCAAATCGACCACGAAGACCAGGTACCACTCCTGGTAGCAACTCAGATGGAAGTGCATGGCACCACCTGGTTTGTGGATTCCATGGACCTCCATGGGGGTCATGCCATCCATGTGAATTCCAGGGAGAGTTCACATCACAACGCTCTGGGCTACGACCTGTCGGGGCAATCCGCGGATCGCCGCGTAAAACTCCAGGTGATCCTCCGGAAGAGGTGAAACGGAAGGAAGAAAGCATGCTCCTAGAAGCCAAACGTTCAGACGAAACCTCAGGTGCAAATCAAATTGGTTTTCCATATTGTCGTTTAGCAGTTTCGGGCAATATCTTCAGTCATGAGTGCACCTACAGTCCATCAATCAGCCAGGTTTCAACACTATGGGAGCTGCCTTTCCGCAATTAATTAGGTTGGAGGCCATGGCTCAGGGTGGAGGCCATCGCCCATGTCCCAGGCAGTCCTCGACAGTCAACAGCTCCAACAGCGCATCAAACTGGGGGCAATACCCCAACCTGCGCATGGGAAAGCCACGTCCGCGATGCACTTGGAAACATCTGCCCGCGCTGCACGAGGTCTGCTGGCAGGCGCACAAGTACTGGATGGTCTGCCACAGCCGCCCTTTTTCTCGCACAGGCTACCTTTCTCTCCACAAGGTAGGGCCAGCGAATCCCACTTTTCAGGCACTTTTCTGACCAAAACGGGCATCTTCACTTCGTCGACTGCCATTCATTGCCAGTCGGCCTTGACCAACGGTGAATCGGTTCCAACGCTTCTGGGCCAAGAGGAATCGGTGGATAGGTCAATAGGTCTCTCACCGCCAAGAAATCAGCCAGACCACACCTTCATCGCCGTGGTTCGCTTGTGCTACTTACAGCAATGAACAAATGCTGCCACGTCTCTGGCTGAATATGGAATCTCTGCTTTCGCAAAGGTTTGCTGGAGTTGATTCACCTCTAGTATTGCCCTATGTGCGATGAATGCAAGACGAATGCAGGCGATTTTCACCAGAACCGCACACTCCTTTTCAATCACCATATTTACAAAAGCATATAGCAACCAAACAACATAGCAAGCATCATTACCGATGAATGACGTTCAAAGGGATATGTTCTGATCAACATGCTCCATTTCAGAGGGTAGTTCTATGCCTCGATTGCCTTGCTTTGCAAAAGACAGTATGTATTTGGCCATGGAACCTGTGGCCACGCCACGCTGCGCGTGAAGCTGCGCGTGAAGCTGCGCGTGAAGCTGCGCGTGAAGCTGCGCCATGCTGTGCCAGGCGTCAAGTGGAACCAGGCGGATTTCACTCTGCTCCTGATCAAACCGTTTGATGGATATGTCCAACTACCTCCATGTTGCTCAAATGATGCCGCAAGCGGCTGAAATCGATCTGACCCGTAACTTCCAACAACATTGGCACCCCAAAACCGCCGTTTCTGTCCACTAGTTCTCCGTCCATCTCTGTGAGCCCTTTAGATCGACCCTAGAGATCCCTAGAGGCCCTAGACTAAGTCTACACAAAGCTCAAGAAGGTTCACCAATTGACGAGTTTCTCACTTAGCACTTACCAGTCGCAGCGATGGATTCCGATGGATTCGATCCAACAAGCTTGGTCCAAAAAAATTTTTGCTGTAGTCCTGATATATCTGCAAGTCTCTGACCTTGGCCCCTGATCGAAACCGCAACAGCAGGGTCTAACATATTGCAAACAAGTTCCCTGCCAGACGCAATTGCCAAACTCACCATCTGCTTTTTGTTGCTCCGGTCACCCAAAGTCCCTACAGCAATCATGTCAAGCACTGCTCCTGGTCTATCCAGGCCAAGAGTGAGGAAAGCCTCTTGCAACGAGCCTATTGAATCAAAGGCCCTGATGGAGTACACCTCTGCTCGGTAGTCTTTGCAGCCTTCTGCCAGCTTGGCAAACCATTCCTTAGTGGTCTATAGTCGTCTGAAAAAAACCCTTCAATGCTCGTCGCGTCGTTTGCAAAACCACCATAGAAGCGTAGCCGCGCTTCTATCAATCCTGGAGTCGAATAGCTGACGTAATCTTCGGAGTCTTCTCCAGACCATGGAAGCCGAAGAAAATGGTCAACCCGTTCAGTCGGAATGTCGAACCACAGCATCAAGCGGGTCTGGAGATTCAGAACTCTCGTGAAAACCTCGTTCTTCCGAAAAAGATATCCAGTTGACCCCAAGATACACCAGTTTTCCCACCAACTGCTTGTGGCTTTTGCCATCCGTTCCGAACGTCTGGTCAAGATTCCGAGTGGAGCAAGTCGACTGCGCTTCCACGCCTGTGCGGCTCTGCCTGCAAAAGTCCTCGTAGCATCTCTTGCTGCACTGCACAACCGTCGGGCCGTCCCTCGACTTCTGGCAGCTCCAGCTGCTCATGAAGCTCCAACTGCTCTGCACAGGAGGAAGCATTGGGAAACACTGGACCTCAAAAGAACGAGTTGCGTTTGAGGTCCAAGGTCTAAGGTGGTGTTTTATAGCCTTTGATGAATCATGATGAATCACTAACTTTTGGAGCAAGTGCAATAACCATGCAAAAACTCTCTTCTTTTGAACAATATGTTTTACCATGTTACCTGAGTGTGGCAGTTGCCTGAACGAGATCACACGTTCCCGAGAAGTCCCGTGTCCCGTGTCCCAACACCTCAAACCGAGCATCGTCCCATCAAGAAGTGTCCCAACATTCCGCCCACGCCCCAGAGATCCGCCGCAGCGCCACCGAAGCACGCACCGCGCAGCACCTCGGACCGGGACATAGAAAGGATTCACGATGAGATCGTGGAGCACCGTTACTCCCCCGGTCGATTTTTTTGCACAACTAACAAGAAGCTACGAACGTAGCTATTTGCTACTAGTAGTAATGCACTTGTTACTACTAGCGATGTGCTTACGTCCTTTTCTTTTTTCGTTGTTTCTAATAGCGATGGCCTCCAACCTAGAAGTGATGATGGCCTCCAAGGATTGGTTGGGTAAGTTCCCAAACACCACGGAAATCCTGTTCCTGGCGCAATCCTGAAGAGGATTCGGGGCGATCTGGACCGAAAAGAGGATGAGATTGCCCTGATAATCATGTATAGACTGCACTGCAAGTTGAATCACTGCGGTTTCACATACAACTTCCATTTGGACAGCTCACCAATTAAAAATGGCAATGCAGCTTTGTGATGCACGGAAAGAATCAAACAGTCTCGAATTTAACGTAATCACTTTGGCTACTGCAATGACTTGTGTAGAACTGGAGAACTGCTAGGTGCACGCAAAGTAGGTTGACAACATGGATGACAGTTGGCTGACAACATGCACAAACAATGTAGGCACCCAAACGAGCCCCAATTTCGAGCCCCAATTTCTTGCGATGCTGTCCCAGGTCGGCCTCTGGTGCTGTGAAAGGGATGGACTTTAAGGAGAAGTCAAAGAATTCCAGTGGCCTCAGAACGAGACCAGTGAAGCAAACAACAGGATGACGCAGTTGTCTGGAAAATGGAGGTTTTGGCAACCAAAGACGCCAAGCTCTGAAAACGGCCAAGCTCTTTCCCTTCGTTTAGCGTTCCCAAAACAACCATGAACAAATGGTTTTAACATGTTTTAACAGCTTCCTACCCAAATCAATGGAAATCCTCCCCCCAGCTCCTTAGTACGATGTTCTGTGTGAACTTTTTGTTCAACAAGCACGTCCGTTAACAACTCAAGCAGCAACGCGCAGCAACTCCTTATTTTGAGCCTAGAAGGGATCCTGCTTGAAAACAAACAACAACAACAACAACAACAACAACAGCAACAGCAACAGCAACAGCAACAGCAGCAGCAGTAAACCTTCTGGTCAAGGACCCCTGCCCATTCTGATGCACTCTCACTCTCGCATCCTTTGATTTGCCACACAGTGACTGCCAATGCCAGCTTTCCGAGGGCTCAGTCGGATGCATGTGTTGAAAGCCTGCCAGCTTCACGTCATCGTTGTTGTTCCTGGGAAAAACGCGACTCAAGTTAGAGTCCTTGGAACGTTTTCGGTCACCAAAGTGTTGAAGACTTGGCTCGTGCAAAGCAGTTGGAGGGTATCGCTGTCAGGTTGGAGGCCATCGCTATTAGGTTGGAGGCCATTGCTATTAGGTGGGAGGCTATCGCTCTTAGGTTGGAGGCCATTGCCATTGGGTTGGAGGCCATTGCTCTTAGGTTGGAGGCCATCGCTCTTAGACTGGAGGCCATTGCTATTAGGTTGGACGCCAAAGCTACTAGGCCATCGCTCTTAAGTTGGAGGCCATTACTATCAGGTTGGAGGCCATCGCTCTTAGGTTGGACGCCATTGCTATTAGGTTGGAGGCCATTGCTCTTAGGTTGGAGGCCATTGCTATTAGGTTGGAGGCCATTGCTATCAGGTTGGAGGCCATCGCTATTAGGTTGGAGGCCGCCGCTCTTAGGTTGGAGGCCATCGCTACTAGGTTTCAGGCCATCGCTAGTAGGTTGGAGGCCATTGCTACTAGGTTGGAGGCCATCGCTAGTAGGTTTGGGGCCACGGTTTGTAGGTTGGAGATCATTGCTATTGGGTTAGAGGCCATCGCTAGTAGGTTGGAGGTGCCATTGCTTCTAGG